TCCCAAATCAACGTCTGTGGTGAGAGCATATTAATTTTACACACACACATACACACACAAAATCCTGTGAAAAAACGAATAAGAAATCTACAAAACTATATAAACGATGTTTTCAGAGAACCGCAGTGTTTAAGTGTATCGCTGGTATAGTGGCTACAGTGCCTGTGGAGTACTTAAACACGATACTTTTTAATATTATGTCGCCTCTAGTACGAGAAATAGCTACGACAGAAGAATCGAATGTCGAATTGCGCCGACTTGCCAAAGAAGTAGCTTCCATGATTAAGAAGACTGTAGGAAGCGAAAAATATATAAAATTACTCAATCGTGTGCAACAAAAACACGACATTAAGAAAGCGGAAAGGAAGAAAGTTCGCGCGCAACAGGTAAACTCAGATTTGCTTCTTTATATCTTTATTAATTCTTTATAATACGTAACATATCGTAAGGTCTTTGTAAGAAATACGGTAAATCTGGAAACTTTGTGTATATATTGATTACTTTTTGTTACAGTTCGTAGTTAATCCTGATTTAGCCGCTAAACGTAAACTAAATAGACAGCAAAAGAAGAAAAAAGTGGCGAAGAAAAAGAAACTATAAAAATATAATAATATGGACAATAAAATGTATATGATATATATGTATATATATATAAAAAATATATAAAAACAGATCTATATATATATATATATATATATATAAATCTCACTTGGAAGATTTTGTGCCGCTCTTGAGCAATGATATATATATAATTCCGTGCTGGTAACTTTTTCTCGTTTCAATAGGATATAATTAAGCTTCAGACCGAATTCCACCATTACGTGAACATTATCGTTCTTAGTGGTTTTCTATTTTTATATTTGTGTATTATTGTATTATATTGTATTATATTAATTTATATTGTATTGTATTATATTGTATATAGGAAATATATATATAATTGCTACAAAAAAAGTCATATCTAATTAGTATTTTTGAGTTACTGGCATTAATATTCTTTTTACTTTTACTCATAACAAAAATTAACTTTTATTGAAATATTTAATTTAAATACAAACTACAAAGTTAATATATATATTTTTTTTTTATGCTTTCATGATATGACGAAAAAATTATATGTGAGAAAGTTTATAATAAGATAAATTACTAAAATAGACGAATTTAAAATCTCCTAAATTGCTTTTTGAATCGCTCATAATGATAATCGTCCGTCGCTTTTTCTCCGTTGTCCTTTCGTTTCCCCCTTATGTCTTCCTTAGTGACTGATTTCTTCTTGTCATCAGAATCCTGTCGTGATTTCTGGAAATCTGGGTCTTCTATGTTAACTGAAATTATATATAATGAAATAACTTGCCTAACTAGTTTGCAAATACATGTTGACTTA